AAAAAAAAAAAAAAAAAAAAGATGTTCTTCAACGTCAGAGACTGAGCCATTACCCTACCTTTTAGAGTCCTCATTTCTCCTATAACCACAGAATTATGCTTTATACCCAGGTATGAAATACACATTATAGTTTCACAGGTTCAAGATATAAACAATAAGTACATTATATTCAGCTCTTATTTTATCAAGTTTTACAAACACCCATTTAAATTAGCAACTAAATAATCTACTATCATAGTAAGTAGGTTAAAAGTTCGTAATCATTCCCAGGAATGACTACAAGGTCTTTCTAAAGAGACACTAAAACCAAAATAAAACTCTTTTAAGTAAAAAAGGATAGGAGGGATGCCTGGGTGGCTCAGTTAGTTAAACGTCTGAAGCCTGCCTGGGATTCTCTCTCTCTCCCCTCCCTCTCTGCCTCTACCCTGCTTGCTCTCTCTCTCTCAAAATAAGTAAACTTAAAAAAAATTGTTTTTAAAATAGGAGAAGCTAAAGATTTTGGCTATAAGTCATAAAATGTATATAACCTATATAATGCTTAGTTTCTTCCAACTATAAAAGCTTAACATGACTAACCTCACAATAATCAAAGAAATGTGAATTAAGAAGAGGTAACTATTTTTTTTGCCTATTAGGAAAAGAACTTAATATTGTTTTGAAAGAATAAAAGAATATGAAGTTCTCTTCCTACTGATCTATGTTTAAATTGGTTCACCTTCCCGGGGCGGGGGGGCAATATTAAAGCCGCTATGAAATTTCATACTTAATTCCAAAGGAGTAGTAACTTCCAAACTAGTCACTGCTGTAATAGCAATAATATGGAACTCAAATACCTACAAATGGAAGTCAAAAGACTGAGGTGCACACTGCCACGACTGCATGTCAAAGACACCTTATCAGAGACAAGAAGATCCGAGACCTCACGTGCAGCAGATCTCAGGTGGCGCTACCTGTGACTTTCCCTACCAGACCACTGGACTTCTCTGCCAAGCTACTGCCAGACACT